CCTTTCTCCCACACCCTCATTCTCATCTTCTACTGATCTCCCTTTGCTTTTCATGTGATCACCCATAGGATTCTTTTTCTTTTTCCCCTTTAGCTTCCACACCTGAGAGAAAACATATGACCCTTGATTTTCTGGGTTTGGCTTATTTCACTTAACGTAATAGTCTCTGGTTGTATTCATTTTCCTGCATATGAGGTAATCTCATTTTCCTTTGGCTGAATAAAACTCCATTTTATATATATCTCACATTTTAATTCATTCATCTGTTGACAGACACCGAGGCTGTTCGACTATTATGACTTTGGCTGTTATAAACATGGGTATGCACATTTGGAGGTTCTAGGGGAGATGGACTGGCTATTCAAATATAAAGTCAAACAGAGATTCTGGAAAGTGTAAATCTTCTTTGACCAATAGGTACATGCTAATTCATCTTTTTTATTAGTGTGCTCAGGGTAGGAATGAATAAAAAGTACAACCTACTCATTTGATTCAAAGTACTTAAGAAATTATAATGATGCTGTCTTTAGTGTTGTTTTTTTCCTTTTGACTTATATACAATCAAAGAATATTTTCAAGGAAACGTTTGTTTGAGAACACTGAGGTAAAGCCTTCAATACTTCAAACCTATTCTATTTCACATCCATATTCTAAATATATTTAGAGAAATTAAATCTTAGAGATTCTCAAACATACATTGAAGTTGCACTTCAAATGAATTTAACCTTTTCTCAAGCGGCATGCCTGCTTCATGCAGGGATAAATTAGTTATAAATGTGTAATTATCATTGAAAATATTAACAGAAAAAATGCAACCCTTTCCATAATAGGCTTTGGAAACCTAGTAGCATCTGTAAAGTGTGAGCTGGCTGATCATAGAGTAGAAGTGGAATAAAGAACAGAAATAGAATTCATTTCTTGTAAACTACCTCCAGTCCAACCTAAACACAGAAGAAAATGAGAAGCAAAAAAAGCTCACAAATATTTGTTTATGTTACAAAAATAGTATTCACAACAGACAAACAAACAAACCACTATGATAGTACCCTCAATCCTGATGTTAGCACCCTTTGGTCAATGAAAAATTTCCTTTTCTAAAAAGGAGTTAATGAGTGCTTAGAGGTAGAGTCCAATTCACCAGTGGGCTAAAACAATGAGTTTTGATGATTATCAAATTCTAGACAGAATAGCAATCATATTTTATAAGAATGAAGAAAATACAAATGAATATTAACTTATTAGGGGCAAAAGTCATAAAATCAAGCATTCAGAATTTTAAAAACTTGAAATAAGTCAATCATAATTTTGTATGCAAGTGGATTTTCTAAACATATGATACAAGAACACTAATTTTGGAAGTCTTTTCCTTTGGAGTGATTTTTCTACTAATACTGTACTTGTAACTTATGAATGATTTTTTGTTTTATACAAGTGAAGAGATTGTAACTTTTTATCAACATCAATATTTAAATTTTGTTGAATATGGTAGCCTCTCTTTTATGTCATAGCTCTGCACTTCAATATGCAAGCCAGCTTGATCACATAAGAAAATGAAGCTCCATAAATAGAACTGAACACAGTTTTCCTTTTTAATTTTACCCTCTGGAGTGAATAGTACTATAATGAAGATCTGATGTTTTCCCCTGCTTGACTTGAAGCACATGTTTGGAATTCAGTGTGTGGGTGTGTATGTGTGTGTTTTCCTTTAAAAAAAAAAAAAAGCTCATTCAGTGGATACTTTTTTAAATCAAATAAACTTACTAGTCCAGGATTCTCAATGCAGAAAGATAACCAGAATTATTTAAATTCTTTCCAAATATAAATGGTGATCCTTTCGTTCAGAAATATATGATGGAATTTAGGTGCTCAAAGACAGCTCTTCAAAAATTCTTTGTTAATTTATCCAGTCACTAAGCACTTTATGAATCTTACATTCATTCAACACTCAGAAGGAGGTTTCCATTACAATACTTATTAATGAATTCTGCAAAGGTGTGTTGGGTGTGTTTATGATGTGCATGGAAGGCACTGGGACATAGCAGTTATAACCAAGTTCATTTCAAATGGACCTACATGTGAGACCCCCTTAGTCACTGGAGGCTTGCAATTTAACCTCTGCAAAATTGTTTTATTCTGTAAAATGAGATTAAATATAACTATACCCTGCATCCCTACACACAATTTTAAGTATTAAAGATTAATTGAAATAATGAATTCAAGGTACTTAGCTCATGAAATTTAATCAATGTTAGTAAATATTTGTATTATCTGTTATTCTCATTACTACTTCAACTATTATTGCCCTATAATTGGTTTGGCAAAGAGCAAATCAAAGATATGAGAGAAGCAATGCAAATCCCAGAAGATCCCCTAGTCTTAATGAAGAAGGTATTATATATAGATGGAACAGAAAATGGCCAATCATGTGGTCTATACAAGTCTGAGATCTAGGAGCATGAGGCTTACAGACAGCAGTACAGTGCACTGGTTGACATTACAAATGCTGCTGGAGACAGCTGCTTTTGTTCAAATTCTGCTTCTACCACTGGCCAGCTGTTTCACCTGAGGCTGGCTAGTTACACTCTCTCTGCCTCTGAAATAATAACACTATACCCTTCACAGCATCATTGGGAGGATTAAGTGAAATAATATTTGCAAGGCATGTATGACTGTGCCTGAAACATTGTGCTTACTAAACAATAGCCACTATTATATCCTTCTATGTAGGCAGCTCAAGACCCAAGACAGAGAGGTACAACAAATATTCATTCATTTACTAGAAGCAATAATATCAATACCATAGTACAGGCTTGTAACAATAGTAGCATTAATATAAATTAAAGGGAAGGGGATCATTGTGGGCTCTAAATGTAAAATAGATATGCAGATAATGCAGAATGCCTAGTTTCTTCTTTTTTTCTAAGAAAGAAAAGAAAACTAAGAGTTTAAGGAGAGGAAATATGATATATTGAATAGATCTATGAAAAGTCCAGAAAGTAATATGATAGGCAAATAGTAACTTATTGACATTGAGCTTCCCTGCCTCTGGGAGAGCAGGTTAAATGTGACCCAAACTTCCAATTTCCTGACTTGACTAAGTCCAGAGGTGATCCTCAATTATTTCAGATACCAAATCTCTTTACTTAGTGCTACTCAAACCGTGTCCCTTGTCCTATGATAAGTTCATCCCCGTTCCATGGGGAAAATAAAAAATGGAGGTTTTCCACAATTAACTTTGGGATACATTGATAAACAACATTCAGTAGTCTTCTTTTCTGAAGTTTTTTTTAAATCCTTTTCATGAACAAGTTTCCAGAACAGGAATGGGATGCATATACACAGCCCTTCTTCCCTGTATTTGAACATGGGACTCTTTTCATTGAAAATCTACTGATATTTTCTATTACACTTAAGAGAGTTGGAGATATGCTGCTTTAACTAGAAGGAAAAACTTCAATGGCAAAATAGCAGTTAATATATATTCATATAGATAATAATTTTTTAAAAAGAAATTAATATTTTCAACACTCATGGAATGCCAAAACCTTAAACTTTTATATAATCCTTGCAGTAACTGCATTATATCTTATCACTAAGATTTTACACATGAGAAAACCGAAGCTCAAAGATTCAAACAGTCACACAGCTAGTAAGTAAAGGTAGCTGTTTCTATTAGTTGAAATACTTCTTAAATATCTAGAATTGTAAAATGGAGAGAGAAAGACCAGCAAATGAAAGAGATGATTACTCCAGGATACGTATGCATAATTTCATCATCTAATCCTCAAAATATATGAACTGACATCCATGGAAAGTAAAAGGAAAAAAGTCTTAATAAGACAAAAAATACAGAGTAAATGCCAAGTAGGCTAAAAAAAAAAAAGCACATGAATATCAGATCTGTATTTTGATAGTCTTACTTTCATTTGAATATAGAACCAGTAAAATAAAGATAATATTTTTAACTATATGAATTGAAAGAAGATCTGGTTCTGGAATTTGCAACACTTTTTTTTTTCCTGATTTTTAGACCTGATGACACCCAACAGAATGATAGATGCATAGATACATACATACATTAGAATACACATCCATATACACATATACGAGTAATTGATACTGTTATCCCTGAATAATAATATCTTCCAATTGTATCCACAGATGCAACCTAGTTATTGTCATAAACCGGGTATTTGGATATAGTTTAGTTATTGGGTAAGACTGCCTGACACAGATACATGATTTTCTGAGAGGCCACACACCATTTGTCTGGACTAAGAACATTTAAAGAAACTGTGGTGACTCAGGAATGCAGATTCCCCTCACCCATGTAACCTAAAATTCACATGCATAGGCCCCAGACCTATAAAATTGAGAGGCTCTGGATAATGAACCTCTTTTGCAACACCCAGGGACCTAGAGTCAGTCCACATTATTTTTCATAAGGAGAACTAATAAAGTAATTTGTGACTTAAAAGAAGGTCATATCTCTGAGTCAATGTCTATAACCTGATTGCTTGAAAAATAATTTCCAAACAAGTGCTCTGGAAATCTTTTACTTACAAGCATTCCTTAACCTCTTTAATTTTTTTTGCTTCCTGGATATCTTGGAGAAAATAAACCCATGCAACACAAATTTTTGTCTTCAGAGCATATTCCCACACAGAATACTGACTCGTTAGATTCTCTATGTAGCCTCATAAGTAAGAATGGCAGATAATTTTATTACCATTTTTAAGATGCATGGTCCCAGACTTAATAACCACAATGAAACAGGACTTCCCATATCGAGTCCAGCACTATTTATGTGACAACCCTAGGGACTCTGCCTGCAAGAAGCAGATAGCAAAGTAGAATTATGACTGAGAATAAAAATATTTTCATTTATCTGCCTGCATTTCACAAATGGTGATATTTTTCTGAGACAATCACATGTATACTATGGCCACAACACACAAACGTTCTACAACTATCATGTTCATGAATCTACATAGTAAATCACTCCATAAAAGTGTTTCTTTTCTTTTCTCTTCTTCTGAAAATAGCCGGAAACAGCTCCCCCTTGCTGTCTTTCCTAACATACCTTCACCAAAGCTAAAACAGCTGAAGGTATGTGTATTTCTCCCTTTCTGTCCTCTCTCTCCTACCCCCGGAGCAGAGCCATAGTTGTCCAGAGTAACTAATAGAAGTAGGTGGTGTTTTCTGTCTTTTTCCCCAGAGCATGTTTTCTGCTTTAAGATTCCTCTTTCTCACCCCGACAACGGAAGCCTGGAGGTTTTTCTCTCCTCTGCCCTGGACAGCACTGCCAGGGTGGATGTTGATTGGCAGCTGTTCTTTTAGCCTTCAGAAGAGACCAGAGAAGTCTGCAGGATCCAGTATTAAACAAATGAAGTCTCCATGGACTACTGCAGCCCAATTTCCGCCATCCCCTCAGTGGGAATCCTGCTTTCCCAGAGAAACTCTCTGGAATCTAGTTTAGAGAAAACTCCCTAGGCCCCTTGCCCTACACAGGATCTGGAAAATCAGAAGATGCTCCTTTCCCTTCACTACTAATGACTGTGTCCTTCCCTCTGGCAAACCAATACAGTAACAGCGGGCACCAAGTCCCATTGAGAAGAATGCATCCTTTAAGTCACAAGGTGGTTACCAGAGTGGAGTGGGGAGGCGGGAGCAAAACTGCCTCGGGAATAAAATTAGCCAGACTAGCTGCGGAGGGATAAGATCAGTGAGCCGAGAAATACTCCCACTGGAGGACGTGGGGTTTAGCGCCAAGTTCAGGTAGGTGCTTGAGCCAGCGCGCGGTTGCATAGACCTGAGATTTCCCGGTACAGCGCTTACTCTCCTGCGGAAATCAAATGTGGGTTTAAGGTGGCCGGTGAAAGAAGCTTGAGGAAACGGTGACGATCCTCTAAAAGGCAAGATCCCGTCCGGTTCTCCAAGTTTTGGAACGAGAGAGATCGCCTCGATTCCGCCTATTAAATCGAAGGATCCTCGGGTCTCCCAGCCCCACCCCTGCAGCAATGATGCAAAGAGGACAAATCACCAACGAAAGGAGGGAAGTTGGAGTGAGGCACGAACAGTCTCCAGCCACTAGGGCGAGAGGAAGCGCGTCCCGCGGAATCAACCTCTGCATTAATCATTGAGTTCTGGGCTCAGCGCTTTCAGAAGCTCGGAGCGCACCTTTACAGCTTTACGAGAGTTGGGAAAAGGCAGAGCAGGGAGAGGGGCTGCAGCACCGCACCCAGAGCTACTCAGTGGACAAGTGCTGGCGTGCGGGAGGTTTGAAGGGCCCCGCGAGCCCGGAGCTTGGAAAGGACAGCGCCCTTGGGAAAAAAAGACCCCAAGTCCCCCGAGGTGAGAAAGGAGCTCCCTGCGCTGCCCCGGGTCTCAAAAGCGCTGTACTAGATAGCATGCGTTTCTCCAGAGGCGCCGACGCGGGACCGCTGGGCAACTCCAGTTCGTGGTGGCCTCTGGCTGCCGATAGTGCCAACCAGAGCCAGGAAGCAGATGCGCTTGGGGAAGGTGGTGGAAGTCCCCCGGGAGACCGGCGCAATGAGGAACTGGCCAAGCTGGAGATCGCGGTGCTGGCGGTGACTTTCGTGGTGGCCGTGCTAGGCAACAGCAGCGTGCTTCTGGCGCTACACCGCACACCGCGCAAGACGTCCCGCATGCACCTCTTCATCCGACACCTCAGCCTGGCCGACCTCGCTGTCGCCTTCTTCCAGGTGTTACCGCAGCTGTGCTGGGACATAACCTACCGTTTCCGCGGACCCGACTGGCTGTGTCGCGTGGTGAAGCACCTGCAGGTGTTCGCCATGTTCGCGTCGGCTTACATGCTGGTAGTAATGACCGCAGATCGCTACATTGCTGTGTGCCACCCGCTCAAGACTCTGCAGCAGCCGGCGCGCCGCTCGCGCTTCATGATCGCCGCCTCTTGGGTACTGAGCTTCGTGCTGAGCACCCCACAGTACTTCATCTTCTCCATGATCGAGGTGAACAATGTTACCAAAGCTCAAGACTGCTGGGCCACTTTCATCCAACCCTGGGGCACCCGAGCCTATGTGACCTGGATGACAAGCGGCATCTTCGTGGCACCCGTGGTCATCTTAGGTACCTGCTACGGCTTCATCTGCTACCACATCTGGCGCAACATCCGCGGAAAGACCGCGTCGCGCCAGAGCAAGGGTGCAAGCGGCGCGGAGGACGCCCTCCATAAGGGGATTCTGGTAGCGCCCTGTGTCAGCAGTGTGAAGACCATTTCCCGCGCCAAGATTCGCACCGTAAAGATGACTTTTGTGATTGTGACGGCTTACATCCTCTGCTGGGCTCCTTTCTTCATCATCCAGATGTGGTCGGTCTGGGATGAAAACTTCATCTGGACCGGTAGGTGCTGACACAGTGGAGGCCAGTGGTGTGTGTGTCTGTGTGTGTGAGATAGAGAGAGGGAAAGAGAGAGGGGGGAGGGGAGGGGAGAGAGGGAAAGTATTTCTTTCCATACTGTCCTCTAAACAGTCCTTAAACTTCGGCATGCACAAAAATTACATCTTGGGGGAAATTGCCAAAAATACAAAATCTAAAAAAACATTTTAGAGGAAGAATGACTTTCTAATGACATGTGAAAATTATGTGAAACTAAAAAAAAAAAAAAAGCGAGACATGGACCTGAGTACCTACTGTTGGAGCATATAAAAACCCAATCCTTCAGATAAATATAAAATTAAACACAAGAAAAAAAAATGCCAACTCCTAGGGTCTCCACTCCAGACACTATAATTCGATATCTCTACAATGAGGCCAAGAAATCAGCATTTGTAGCGTACAATGATGATATTAAGACCGTAAATCCAGGAACTGTGTCCTAATCACCCACTAACTTCAAAACAGAACAATGACCTTTTGCTAAGTCACTAAAGGCTGTGTACATATCCTGCTTTCAAGGCTATTGGATTCAGGAAAGCATTTTTAGGACCACGACTGTTTTTCGTTAGATCATGAAAAGTATCACAATTAATATAAAACTTTTATAGAAATTCCCTAAGGGCAAAGATAAACTTTTTTTTTTTTGAGAAAGCTAGTAAAATATTCTTAAAAGGTCAAGAATTCTAAGTTGGCAATTAGTTCATGTTCTTTTCCTTGACATAATCTTTAAAACTTTTTCTAACTTAATTACTTTCTATTTCCTGGTATTTCCAAGTAGGATTATTAATAACTTAATTTGTTAGACATATCCTTTAGTCTTTCAGCACTAATTTGACCACACAGCTATTTACTCCACAGAGTTGCAATGATTTTCTGACAGTGTTCCCTATACCTACTGGCATGTTTGATTTTAATTCCTTCACAAACTAGAGAGATTGGTTTCATCAGGATTTCCCAAAAGGAACATTATTTAGTTTGGCATATTGAAAAATGTTTTGTTTTAAAAAGGAAAAAAAAACTTTTTGAAACCAAACATATTACAGAAATATTTCTTACAACAACTGAAGTCAGGATATAGGCATTGGGTAGAGCCATCTGTTTTTTTAAGGATTGAGGTAGGAAGTATATATGATATATTTTGTGAGTCTTATATGCAAATAAAACATTTGAGTGTAAATTTAATTTAAATAAATATTTCTAACCACCAATAATGAAAAATATAACACACTTAACTTTTATTTACCATTTCCTGTTTTGCTTAGTCTCAGAAGCCTCTAATATTGCCAAATTTAACCTGATGTGTAATTATTGCTTTATTGAGATTTATACACAATTACTAAAATAATTTTCACTCATGCATGGATTTGTTGGTGATTTTTACTCTTTTTAAATACAGTCAGCCATGGTTCATGATCATCTCCAATAGCAACATCTAGCAGAAAGTTATCAACTAATCTGTAACTTATTCTGGCAATAGAACAGCAGGAAGACCCAAGTTTGTATATGCCAATCAAGGGAAAGTCTGTGCTTACTAATTATTCTTATTTTTAGAAAAAAGTATATTATCAGTACAATAGTATCACTGTGAAAGCTCATGATGTTCATGTAATTTACCACTGCTAATTAATATAAAGTGCTTCAGAAGCCTATTGAAATTTTTTAATTCAACCTTCTTAATATAATTTAATTGAGCCAAAAAGATGATTTTCTTTTAAAAACTCAAATGAAAATTCTAATAATCCATTAAAAAATAACTAAAGCTTGCACTCTTCAAGGATCTATTTAAACTATTCTCTCATATATTGTTTTCACATTACAAGAATATATTCAATATGTAAAACTTTAAACTACTAAACATGGTCTTATAATGTCATAATGTTACTTGAATTATTAGGAAGAATACAATTTGATATACATTATTGTTGACTTGAAATTTATTCAAATTGTTGCTATTGTGTGAATGCTGTGTCTATTAGTACATACTCATGCTAGTATAAAGTACAAAAATATTTTAATGAATTATTTCATAGCTTTATCATCTTGAAATTCCCATTCATCCTATTTAATATTTTAGTAGTGGTTTTAAATTTTTTGCATTAGTTTTGAGGCATTTTACTTATAAAAATATTTTATAATCAAGCCATTTCTAAATACTACCCAGTTTCCTGACTGATAAATAAAATGTCACTTTCTATACTAACCCCTAACATTTCTTTCCTCTTTAATCAATAGAAAAAGGAGTTTATCTGATGCTTAATTTCTTGCTTTGACTATTGAAATAATCTCGTTTTATGTTTTTCATACAGATTCAGAAAACCCTTCCACCACCATCACGGCTTTACTGGCTTCTTTGAATAGTTGCTGCAATCCCTGGATATATATGTTTTTTAGTGGCCATCTCCTGCAAGACTGTGTCCAGAGCTTTCCATGCTGCCACCACATGAAGCAAAAATTCAACAAAGATACCGACAGTATGAGCAGAAGACAGACTTCTTATTCTAACAACCGAAGCCCAACAAATAGTACCGGTACATGGAAGGACTCACCTAAATCTTCCAAGTCCATCAAATTTATTCCTGTTTCAACCTGAGCCCCAAGTTCATACTGCCTGGTTCTTGTAATTGACTTTTTGGTCCATTACTGAATCCATCTAGAAATCATGAGGACAAACAGGCTTATGTGAGATAAGCAAAAATCAACTGGTCGGGTACAAGACTTTTGTTTCTAGTTGTATTTTACACATTGCTATGACTCAAAACCATGAATTATTTTATACAGAAAGTTAGTGAAAATACACCATACTAAAATCTGTGGGCCTGATTTCCAGAAATAACAGAAGTTATGTTTTTAAAGGACAAAACGTAACCAAACCGACTTCGTATTTTTACTATGGGTTTCTTTTAATTTCTGACATAAGTAAGACTTGGTTGGTTTAAAAGTCATAGAATTTCTGAACAAAGTGGGCTCATCATTTAGAGGAGACTTCAGAGAATCATGATTCCATTAAAAAAATCAATTTATACATCATAAAATACAGCCCCAAATGGGATCCTGGAGATGAGGTCTTGGGGAGGTTTTGGGGCCAGGGCTTATTGAGCAGGAGGTAGCCAGTTCTGAGTGAAAAGGAGAAAGTTCTGTTAGGAGCTATAAATCACTCTTGAGTTTCAAAATGATAACTTGATAACTGGCAGTGCCTTCCTTTATTTTCCTCACCTTTTAATGGCTCTGAGAATCATTAATTACTAGGATGTTGACAGAGAAAAAATTGTGAACAAGCTGAAAGTATCCTTTTCCTCCCGCTGTAAGATTGTTTTCAAGTTAGAATATGTATGAGGAATGCCAAATTTCATAGCGGAGTAGAAAAGATTGCCTAAAGAAGGCTGTAGACTTTATCTAGAACGTTGTTTGACAGTGTTATAAAGTGTCCTGTGCTACACTGATTATTAACCTGATGTTATCTTTATGTTTGGTGAGTCTGGATCCATAAATATGAGTCTGCTAGAGAGTTACTCAGGATATAAAGTGCCTCCCACTATGTTTAATTACAAAGGTCTGTTCTTTCCTTCCAGTCTCCCACGCACCTAACAGTTTCTGAATAGAGAAGAGGTTAGGGGTGGGGGTAAAGGTTGGGATACAGATGGAAAGAGAACTAACTGCTCTACTCCTCATCTGTATTCCTTTATTATTAAATGTATGTTATCTAAAAACACATCAAGCCTCTGTCTCCTTGGCTGTACAATGGCATTGATAACACCTCACAGGGTTGCTTTGAGAATTAAATGAAATCAAATGTGTGAAATAGCTTCACACCCTGTAAAATGCTATACTTATACTACAGGTGTTTTTTTTTTAATATTCTCGAGATATTAAGAATTTCATAGTTCTTTATTCCTGCTTATTTTTTTATTAACCAAAATTAGTTGGTTTTACATCTGGGATATAAAATCCTAAAATTTAAATATAGATCTGCTGATTCATTGGAAGGCATTGCCAGCAGCCACTAAGCCAGACTTCTGCATGGCTAAAGTTTTCCGATGCAAGGATAGAGCTTGCTTTCCTTTGAATGCAGGTAAAGCAAAGCCAGCCAAGAACATCAGTTTGGTTCAACTCTAAGTAGAGATAAATTACAACACTCCTTGGCCATTGGTATTGCATTTTTCATTACTGTTTTTTTTTTTTCTAGCTCTTTTGTCTGACTCCTTCTTAGAGATCGTGCACTGATTTGAGGTTACATTCATTAATAAATATTTTGCATCTCTTAGAAGATGTAATAGTTACTTTTAATAGTATTACTGGATTTCTTTTTTTAACTTTGTAGATAAGAGACCATGGACTGGATGGCACTGCTGTAACCTGGCATGAACTACTTCACTCCTTTTCATTCTCCTATCTTTCTAAATTCTCAGCCCTTAGACTCCCTTCATTGATGTGCTTAAAAAATGTATCCGAACAATGCATAAAATTATACTGTCGAGATTATCCCTTTAGAGTTCTTTTTTTAAAAAATAACAAAGGGTTCTAGGGAGGTAGCTCATTGATGCAGCACTTATACAGCATGCATAATGCCCAGCTCAATCCCCAGCACCAAAATATTAATTAATTAACAAGTAAAACAAAAAAGAAATCACCTTGAATGAAAGTAACAAATATTTCTCTTAAAAGGCCTGTATCTCTTCAACATAAGCCCTCGGCTAAATTAATCACTGCTTTATTATTCGGATTAGAGCAGCATAGTTGTAACTCTCCCTTGTACGGTAGATAGTCACGTTAAATTTTTTTTCTTTGATAGTTCAAAAACTAAAGCCTTTTAGAGTGGAACAAAGATGATTCCACTTTTTCTAAATCCATTTGAAAGAAAACAATCTTTTGGCTCTTGTAGTAGGGTCTGTTTCAAAATGTTGATATGTACTGCCAAGTAAAACAATTCCATTTGACCATATTTCTGGAAGCATCTCTCAAATAAGGTGCGTATCAATCTTCTCACCTGTGTTTTCTCTTTTTAAATGCATCAGGAGATTAGACAGTGGGAAATGGTCTGGAGAGACACAAGAAGACCTGCTTACTTATTCTTCAATATGCAAATATATGGTCATCATCTCTGTGGTTTAGGGAGAAAAGCAGCTGTTTAGTGCTATACCTTCTTAATATTATATACCCAGAAATGGCATTCATATAATTCAAAACAATTATCCAGATTAGAATAATTATCCTGCCTGTCTTTTTCAGAAGAAAGGAAATTAGGCAATGAGCTGAAAGTGTTCTGGGAAGAGAAGTTTTCCTCTTCTCCACCAAAGACCTGAAACATTATACCAAATGGAGGCTTATAGTCAAGAATAAATGCATGTGACACTTTATTTTATTTTGTACAGTAATCTGTGGGAAGTCCCTGCAAGTATACATTATTAACTTATTTATATAGGCATCAGGAATGTGATTGATAGGGTCTATTACACATTTGATATACATTAATTGATGAAAAAGAAACATTTTAAAGTTTACATTCAGTACTTAATAGGTTGACTTGGGAGCATGTCTTTTAAAATGTAAACTCCTTGGTTTTTATTTTGAAAGTTCATTTAGGACATAACTGCAAAGGAAATTAGTAAAATTCTTGGGTTAATTATACTTGACCTACAGAGTTTCTAACACTATCAAAGGAGCCTTATACCATGATTGAACAAAGGGTGTAGTTATAGAGGAAAAAAATCAAATTTCTTAACAAAACGCAGTACCATACCAAACTTATTTGAGTTCCTAGGCTGGGAGACCTCTGATGATTAAGAAACCACAACTTTCAACTGTTATTGCACAAAATAATCTGATTTGGTTAAAGTTTTGGTTTTCATACCCTAAAATATATAATTTTGTAATTTATTTGGGCACCAGGAGCTTTAAATTATGGCCTTCAAGGTTGACTCTACCTAAAGCATCATTAGGTGTCATCTAGGAAGAAATTGAGCCTAATCCTTTAGGTTCCTGTTACTTCTCCTGTTAACAGGGGCCTTGTGGATCCTCCTACTGGAGACAGTAGCCTTATTAAGAACAAACCCCAGGCAGGGCCTCTAGGAGGCCATTCCAAATATGCAGAAGCAGCAGCTGTTTCCTTGCCCCATTCCCTGTGGCCCTCTCACTGACACTCAGTGCAACATCTGGAATCATGAGTAACAAAGCACAATAAATATTACAAAATGAGCCTTGACTAGAATTTGACCTTAGACAATTTGAGTCAAAAATTTAAAGACTCTGCAGTCGAAAGCTATTTTTCCAGGACAATCTAGGTGGGTTGAATCACAAATTGTGTGGTTCCTTTATACACACAGGTATTTAAAAAATTTTATTCTAACACAATTTTAGATACAATAAATTATTATAAATAACAATATGCATACGATCTGTAGTATGCTGGCATCAAAAACATATGTTATTAGAGCTAAAAATCAAATGCCATTGTTTTTATGTTGGTTGGTGTTTCATTTTGTTTTTTTGTGGTGTTCAGGATCTAACCCAGGTTCTCACACATGCTAAGCCAGTGTTGTACCAGAGACAAAATTTGCCAGTCCTTTTTTTAAAAAAAATTATGTAATATATGTACACAAATGTATCTTTTTATACTGACTTATGTTGTAAATAAAAATAAAAACAAAGTATCATAGAATGAACTAAATATTTTTGTGTTCTGTGGTCAAATTAACAAATTCAGAAGAATTAATAGAAAATGATGGTATCAGAATTATTATTAATATAAAAATAGCATTTCCACACACAAGTGTAATTGTTTTTATATCATGAGATTTATGACTTTAACATATTCTGTGATAATTTCCCTTATTCCTGTAAGAAAGTTGCTAGTTTTGAATGTTGAAATGTTTTGTGATTACATTTAATATCTGTGCTTGACAAGAAAAAAAGTGACTTACTTTACAGTGACTTGTACTATATTGTAATAACAAATGTATTATTCCTTAATTTTATCATGTATTGGCTCCTATAAATAAAAAATAATTTCAGAGTTGTTTTAAATAATTCTTTTACAACTTAGTTTAACAATGAAATATATTGCAAGTTAATTATGACTATTTTGAAAAAAGAAAAAGACGTGTTTTATAATTGGTATACAGTGATAGGTTTGTATTTGAGCACAAAAATGTTTGTATTTATTCAAGTTGACTGTAGCAAGACTAAGAGGAACTTTAAAACTATACTCAATAAATTACAGTTGAGAAAAAAAATCAATAATCAGATTTAGCAGAGGCCATGTGTGCTCCCCAGCCCTTAAGATGTCATCTCCATCCTTTTATTTATTGAAATTGGCAAGAAATCAGGGGGATCCAAAAATCAAGAATATCCTCATTTTAGGGTCTTTAAAATTAGAATCCTTTTCCCTGTGAGTTAATAATTTTAAATTACATTAGCTTTCAACTTACATTGTCTAACTTTTTTAAAAAAATAAGTTGAATGCCAGCACCATGGGCAAAAAGCTAATTTAGGGTTTTGCTTAAAGTCTAGGAGCAGTGATTGCCCGATATGAAGGAGAGGGAATTTCAAGTCTCTATTTTAAAATACCACTGTTATTTTAACAGACTTATTATAAAAGACTAAAAATAAAGAGGATTTCTACCAATGCATATTTCTCTAAAATCTAGATGTCAAGAGTCTGTAAACAAGTCAAGATGGCGCCTGGCAAAATGCCAGAGGGAGTGGTTTGTGAAGTAACGCCAGAGAGCCATTAAGTGTGGAGATTCCTTATTGGTTGACTGCTGTATCAAGTTTATGTTAATTAAGATAAGCTGTGTGGAATGTATAAATACCTCTGTTGTCCTACAATAAAGGGCTCCCACTCCTGCTGTATCAATGTACACAAGTTGCTCGTCACCCCCCGGTTATTTTGCTGCAGCCGGGCTGCAGCATCTAGGAACCCCAGATTTTTTGCCATCTATTGATGATCTTAGAAAAGATATTTTAATGGATCTGGACACCTATTTTATATCTTGGTTTTTAAAAAAAAGTGGTTTTACAGATAAGTCCACATTTAATCCTAATGGAAAGGCCTTGTCACCACCAGAGTGAGGAGCACTTGTCCCTAAGCACAACCCACTGGTGGGGCTTCAGCAGAAGTTAAGTCAGTGTGTATATTTATTATCTCCTCCCCACCAAAAATGAATAAATCAATCCCATCTGTCATTATGGATTCCGTGGGTACAAAAGAATCAGATAAAAGCATATTGGCACAGGAGCAAGGCTCTTTATTCTTATGCTTGAGCACAAGGGAAGCAGCTTGTGGGCAACAGAAATCCCAAGCTGACTGAAATAAGAAGCAAGCAGTGCACAGTTCCATTGTGTGTCTGAGGCTGGTGGGGACCTGGCATCCTCTCATGTAGGGGTAGAGGTTAGCTGTGCCTGTGCCGGCCCTCATCAGGCCTCTTCATGAAACATGTCTCATTGTCATTTTTATGACACCAATGAAGTACAGGTGACAGTAAGTTGCTTTAGTGACTGTTCTACGCATGTGTTTGCCCTTCTACACTAAGCGGGGGTGCTACCCAAATAATAAGCAGGACAAGCTATTGTTTTGTTTAATTTGGTCTGGCTTCCTGGTAGGTTTAATGACCACATAGTCTTTGAAGGCTAACAGGACTTTCCAACCTCTCTTGCCCTGGTGTGTTATCTTAATTTCATAGCCTTGAAGACTGGTCTACTTTCTAACTCCCAAATTTCTGGGATGTTTGTCAACCCCGTAAGACACAGCTAACCTAGCTGTGTCACTTTCATGGTTAACCAAAGCATTCATATTTTGAACCCAACCCCATTCCTTAAATTCATGGTACCTAAGCATCTACCATATGCCAACACTTTAGCTCCCCGAGTCACTCTATCCTTTAATATCCACATAAAGTAGTTTCAGCCGCATTACATTACATTGTACAAAGTCTGTGCTTATCCCTGAGTCTAAAGAGATTCCTGGGGAATTGTTATGAATTCTTGCTTATGCCTAACTCTTACTCAGGAGGCTACTTCTCATGATGACTTTTTCCTCACTAGTTCCCCATTTTTTCCCAACCACTCTACAGCACTTGCCTCATGTGATTTAGTTCACTTAAGGTTAGGATATTATGTGGAAGCCAAGATTATGCGTAAAAAGAAAGAGTGATTCATATTCCGTGTCCCAAAAGTTCATGAATATTCCTTCTAAGGAAGTTAGTCTATGATCATCATTAGAACTTTGCTAGTCACCATCTTGCCTCATCTCTATACCAAGACCCCAAATGCTTGATTTTTCAACTGCCAGAAATTAACATTTCTTCTTCATTGTAATGTAGAACTACTTAGCTTTTAGTTGTCTATAATACAATCACTTAGACTTTTAACCATTTTTCCCAAAGAGCCATTCTTGTAGCAAAAGGAATGCTGCCTTCCTAGGTCAGAGCTTAAATGCATGGAACCTTTAAGATAACCTCTTTTTAAAACAAAATGTATTTTAAACTCGTTGCAAAACATATATAGGGTACCTAAATAGTTCAGATTCAGATTTTTGTCCTTTTTATGTATCTGTAAATATTATACAATTGATGTTTCTCTCTCATGGATTGCTATGAATTCACATAGAAGGACAACTAAAAGATTGAAGTAGGATAGAAGAAATAAAAGACAGAACAGAGACAAAAGGAAGGACAAGGACATAAAATTTTAATATAAAGTTCTGCATATCTTGCTAGGTCTGTCACTCCCCAAGTTGGTTCTTCTCCCAGACCTGTCACTACCAAATTTCTGGGAAATTTATAAAACCTAAGATTACTATGAATTAATTCATTTTTTATAATTACCTTCTTCATTATCTTATGAAATAATCAGACTAGGAAAAGGGAGATGCAGTAACTTAGGAAACCTATAACTTAGGGTATTTTCCAGCATTATCTATTGGTCAGATAATGGAGACCACATCAGTCTAAGAATCCTGACAATGACCAGACAACCAGACTGATGTCATTTCCATCCCTCCCCAAGTTATTTTAGAAGAAGATCCAGGGGCCCAAAATGCAAGACTCTCATCCTGAAGATAGTTCACATTCTCCCTTGAATGTGTTTTACTTGCTTTTATCACAAAAAGCATCTCACTTTTGAGATGGAGATAGTTTATTCATTTTTCTAAACTGTCTGTGTCCCTGCTGATATGAGCTAAAATTCTTTTCCATCACATATGTCAAGGACCCCACCTGTCCTAAATCAAAGTTCCCCTCTCCTAGAACGCCACAGATCTCATCTGGTGACAAGAAAACCTCAAGATATTCACTCCAACAGATACTCATTTGTGTTAGTCAGCTTTGCATCACTGTGACCAAAAGATATGACAAGAACAACTTGAGGGAGGAAGAGTTTACTTGGGCTCATGGTTTTAAGAGGTTCAGTTCATCACTGGTTGACTCCACTGCTCTGGACCCAAAGTGAGGCAGAACATTAAGGAAGAAAGCTTCTCCCCTCATAAGAAGCAGAGAGAGAGAGAAGCGAGGGGGGCAAGATATAATTACCAGGAACATGCCCCCAGAGACCTGCTTCCTCAGCCACAACCCAGCTGACTATAGTTATTATCTAGTTAGTGTTAACACAAAAGGGCCAGGTCAGTTGCAAACTTCACAGATCATCTTGGCACTGCTTTTATTTGAGAATGGAGTGACACCTCTGATGGGACCATTTTCCTGGTGGAAAATTAGCCACCAGCCAAAGAGGGAGAGGTGTTAGGCTTATATAGGTTACACTAAGAGGTGACTCAGTTAATGAGCATGTCTGTTTGGGCTATCTTTACTGGACCAGATGCAGGGTGTGGGATCAGTAGGAGTTCGGTCAGTGGTCAGTACCCAGGATTTATCTTTACTGGGCCAGATGGAGGGTATGGTATCAGTTTTAGGGTGGGATCAATGCTTTGGCCTCTTGCCAGAATCTGTCATACACAGTGATTCCTTCATTCCTTCTCCCTGGACCACGTTCTTTTGGGATTTCTCTTTTTCCATACCCAACAGTTAGTCCATTCAAATTATTATGGACTGATTAGACCTAATCATCTCTCATAAATGAATTATTTAACCTCCTCCATTAACACAGGAACTTTTTTAACCTCCTCCATTAACCAGGAGCTTTGGGGGTACCTCATATCAAACCAAAGCCATCAAATAATGCTCTAGATGGAGGCCAATCTGGAGTGACGGGTTTTTTTTATTCCACCTTGATGATTATAAGGATTCTTTTTGTTCATATGCAAATTCTGTGACATTCTTTTCCATGAAGTCAAGCATAAACAAATAACAGGCTATTGGGTTGTATTTTAGGATCCAATGTGTCCTTAATGCTCTCTCCTGGATCTTTGCTCCAGTTTACCTAAATATAATTTCAGTGCACGTCGTATCATATAAGATAGATTCTGTAACAACTCTAAGACATTTTAAAACAAATCAAAACCAAAGAAGAAGGAGGAGGAGGAGGAGGAGGAGGAGGAGGAGGAGGAGGAGGAGGAGGAAAGAATTCTTCCAGAACTAGTCTTTCATCTGGACCAGATGCTTGTCCAAACCTCTGCTAGAAGCTTTTCTACCTTTCTTGTTTCCTAGCCCCTTATACCAAATTTAAAGCATCCTCCATGTCCCAAGTTCCATTTTCCAGCTGTGGCCAACTTGTGGACAACAGCACCAAGTTGTTCAAAGGAACAGAACAGGGGTCATCCACAAGCTAAATATGAGTAAGGTGCCTTGTTCCTTGGGTCCTGCAAATCTAATGCCAATTTATCAAAAGAACCAAAACATAAAATATGAATATTTGGGGAGTTTTTCAACTGATAATTATCCTCCCATTATTTCAAATGGTATTTGTAGAAACACCATTTACTACCACATTCACATAATCTACCTTTCCCCTGACCCAAGACAGTGCAGGTAAATGGATAAGCTATGTGGGATGGAAACAGACACCCCAATGACAAGGGTGAAAGAGGAAAATCTGCCATTTAGAAGTTCCCCTAAATAGT